CCTGGTTTGGTTGCTTCTTCCCTCTCGCTGCCTTCTTCTTTCCTCCTCTCCTTCTGGTCTATTTAGATGTGAAGTTTGGCAGACGCTCACGGTTGCATTCAGACAGGTTGTGATGAAATGAGGCTCCCAGGAGGCTGCTCCCACAGCAGATCCCTGGGCTGCAGGCAGCACTTCTCCGACTGCCGCTAATGGTCTGATTTCAAAGTGTCAACAGCAGGGGTTTCGCAGTGATGGTTATTACTAATGCTGTACAGCAGCCAGCAGGTCTCCAAAGCCTGTGTGTGGATGAAAGGGATGGTGACACGGGGCAAAAAGGCAAGGAAAACAGCAACAGCAGTGATGGGATGTAAATAATTCATCCAGACTGAAAAGTGAGTATAATATTTTTGGAGAAATACTGAGGGAAGGGTATTACTTGTAGCTAGAGGTGGTTGTCACTAATTTTATTATGATAAAACCTGACTTGCTAGCCAAAATTAGAGTCCTGTGGTAGAGGCTGGTCTGAGCTATATACAGAGAAAATCATCTTCTGACAGGTCCTCCCTGGAGTACCAGGACAGGTAGGACCAACGTTCACTTGGTTAACCTGCCCTTTCTGCTGCTGCAGTTGGCCAGGAGGTTGCTGGGTGCTAAGGTGCTCCCCAGCAACAGCTAATTTTATTCTGAAGGGACATATTCCCCAGGCAAATCCCTTACCCTCTTACTGCTTTCTGTCACTTTTCTCTTTGTTCCCTTTTTCTGTTTAGACTGAAGTCTCAAATTCTGCCATGCCCAGTGCAGCCTGACTCCAGTCTCAGTGGATGTTCTACCCACAATTCACGGTAAAAATACTAAGAACAAACTTTTCACAGTCCTCTGAAGGTTTCACTCTGACTTGGAGGCATATATCTTTTAAAAATAAACATATAATGAATTCATAAAATAGAAGTTCAATACTTAAACCTTTGCCAGGAAGCATAATTGCATTCAAGCAGTAGATCTAATCTATATGTATATGGGTTGTTAGATTTGTCTTTCAATTGGCTTGAATATTCCTACTGTCCTCTTTAGCTTGAGTGTAAAATGAAGGAGACGTACCATTGTACTTGCTTCCTTTGATGAGATGGGGTGTTATGATGACCTCCACATACTCTATAAAATCCGGGTAATGCAACAGGCAGGTGCCTCTGAGAGGAGCTTTGTGAACATGCCTTATATCCTGGTTGGAAAAATTAGTAATTTTGTAAGCAGTTATATAGATCTGGTGACACAAGGAAGGAAAATTGCAAGCCTTAAATTAAAAGTCCAGCCTAAGGTGGATCTTCACAGTTGGAGGGTATATGTATATGTGTATTTTTATCAGGACATCAAACCTCAGATATATAACCCGTGGCTGCTGGGGTCTAACTCAAATAGCTTTTGTTTGGTGGAGGGGTGTGTGTGTGTGTGTTCTTGGTGCACATTTTGACTTCAAATGCAACTACACTGAGAAATTTCTGTGGATTTCCCTGTGGAACCAGTTTACTCCAAAATGTGCATAATTTTCCTGTGCCACAGATGCACTGAAACTGTGTATAGCTCACAGTCTCCTTGTGAAATGTTATAGTTGATGCTGTAGGCTTACCTTGAACAAGAAAAAGATAATTAAACCTGAAACTTGTTTGTGCAAGCAAAAAGAGCAGTGGCTCAGAATGGGGAGTTTGTCTTTAAAACAGGCAAAAAAAGCAGCTTAATTTGCTATGAAGCATCAGTATTCTTTAAATGTTTCCTTTGTCTTATATATTCTTGTGCAGGTGTGCTCTATAGGAAAGATTATTTTTGTTCAGATTAGGGACTGAATCATTGACCTTTCTATTGAGGAATGATAATTAGAGGGACGAATACATATTGAATCACTGGGGTCTAAACAGTAGAGGATTGCAATCAGAGTAACAGCTTGGAGAAAAATCCTGGCCTTCTTGCTGTGAACTATAAAGTGACCAGGCTGAGCTGGAGCGGTCAGGGCGATGCAAAGGGAGTGCTGAACACCTCTGGCTGCAACAGCTCCTTGCCAGCTGTCAGCTTGCGTCCCCATGAAATGGTCTTTCAGAGATAAGCAGCCAGCCAGTTTGGCCTTTTGTTATTCTATGTGTTTAAAATTGCATATAATTAATACTCTCATTATCATTCAGGTATTAAAACACTAATTGTCCACTTCAAATTCTTGTGTCAAATGCTGAACAGGAGATGAGAATCCTTGCCTGAAGGAACCTGTGACCTAAGCAGAAATGGCAGCCAACCTGTGGAAAGCAAACCAGCAGTGTAATGCCTCAGCCCTGATTGCCTGGTAGGACACAGCTGAGAATGGCAGCCCAGACCCCTGCTTACCTGCCCAGTGTCCAAACTGGGAGTAATTTCCTGTAGCACTCCAGGATTGTTAGAATTAGGAATGTTTTTCTGTACAATAGGGCTGCTCTTAAGCATTTGTAGTTCTTCTGGAGGACACATTCGTGCCTATGAGTTTGAAAATGGTAGTATTTATTTTTCATTTCTTGAGAAATGTGCTTGTCCAAGGGTGACACAGAAAGGCTGCTCCCCAGCGTGCAATTATGTGCTGGGCTGAAAGGAGCCTGGATCAGCTTGGGGCATCTGCAGTGCAACTGTCAGCATCACTGATAGGCCTGCAGGAGAAGGTTGCTATCCGTTACAGTCCTTGTCATGTGTGTATTTTAAATCTCTGGCAGCTGTGATCTGGTGAATAATTCAGTGAAACCCATCATCGATAAAAGAGCGATTTTGAAGGGTTCTTTTGGTGGAATTGGAAGTGCTTGCTTTCTGAGAAACGAGTATATTAAATATTGACTTCATGCTATCAAGATAAAACTCATATTTAGCCTTTTTAAATTTTTAATGTAATGTCATATTTATTCTCTGTGACTTCTAGGTATCAAGGCCCAGCCTTCTAGTTGGACTCTGAAGCATCTGTGGTTCTGTGGGGATCCCGATGAGCAAATTCAACAGCAGAATGGATACCGGCTCTGAGATGTGCGTTATTTCCTGTGCCTATTGCTCCTGACAGTACAACTGGTTAAATAAGGTAATTTATCTTTTTCCTGAAGTTGGCTGAACAGTGTGTTTAATTTATTTATATTATTGACTGTGTGGAGGACTACCCTGGTGCAAAATGTCATCTGCAAGTGCTTTCTTCCACAGAAATACAGGCTCTTTATTAATGCAAACACTGCTTCCTCAGATGTGTTTTTCAACACTTGTCTAAGACAAAAAGCAAAATATATACTCAGACTTGAGCTCGTTTTAGGTAAAAGGTGGCTTTAGGTCCCTAAGATGATCTTGAAGCCTTGTGGACGTATGGAAGTGATGAGGCTTCCAGGGCCACTGGGTTTCTCAAGAGCGGGCTCTGAATAGGGAGTCAAAACACAGACTTGAGGATTTATTTTCTCTTCCTTTCTCTTTTCCTCCTCTCTTGTTCTCTCCCTCCCTTCCTGTCACATGACAAATTCACTCACTGAATCCACTGGACATTTATACAGCGATGAGTCCTAATTTCTGTGTTCACAGGCTAGTGCAGAGGACTAATTGTTTTCCTGTGATTTTCTGCTGACTCACTGTGTGATCCCAGGCTCTCACTTCACCAAGTGCTTTGCTCCCCTCTCCCCACCGGACAGTAATTAGCATTTGTACAGTTCTCCAAAATGCAAAGCGAGACATGTTTGATTATGATGAAGCGTGGGGAAGCGGGCTACAAGCAACTGGTGAAAGCAGGAGGAAAGACACGCCAGCCCCTTGGTCCTTCGCTCAACCAGCAGGTTGGCTGGGTTTGTCTTGGCATGTTGGGTTCACGCCGGGTCCATGCCGTTCTTGCTTCGCAACCTTTCCTGCAGCTTCTGCTGACATGAGGAGCCCTTTCACAGGACCGTCCACAGCAGTCCCAGAAGTAATAACTTTACTCTAAAAAAAGCAAGACCAAATTTTGCAGCTGATCCCAGGGAACATTCTGTAGCTGGTGTCCGCTGTTAGATTTTGCGCTCTTAATTTTTTAAAGTTATGAGCTGCCCTGGTTGTCCCCAGTCCAGAAGGTCACCTTGCTTTGCAGTGGTGTGTTCTTGTTTTGATTTTTTTTTTTCCCCCCTGCAAAATTAATTTTTGTGGTAGTCTTGTTTTTTCCTTGTGAGGGGTTGGTTTGTTTGTTTGTTTGTTTTCTTGGGGTTGTTTTTTTTTGCTTCAGGGTGCTGGGTTTGCTTTTTTTTTTTTTTTTTTTTTTTTTTTTTAATTGTTTGTTTTGGGGGGTTTGTTTTGTTTGGGTAGGTTTCAGTTTTGGGGTTGGCTTTTTTGTTTTTTTTTGCATTTTGAGGGGGTTGGTTTGTGTGTGCTTGTGGGTTTTTTTTGTTTTGTTTTTACTCTTGTTTGTTTGGGGATTTTTTTTGTTTTGGGCATTTGTTCTGTTTGGATGTGTTTGTGGTTTTTTTTTTTTTTGTGGAGGTTTGTTTTGTTTTGGTGCTTGTGGGGTTTTTGTTTGAGGGGGTTGTTTTGTTGGGGTGGGTTTGTGTTTTTTTTGTGTTGTTTTGGGTAGGTTTGTTTGTTTGGGGGGATTGTTTCCTTTGGGTGGGCTTGTGGTTTGGATTTATTTTGGGTTTTGAGGGGTTTATTTTGCTTTGGGGTGTGTTTGCGTTTTGTTTTGGGCTAGTTTCGTTTTGGTTTTAGTTTTTTTTTGTTTGTTTGTTTTGTTTTGTTTTTGTTTTGTTTTTTTTTGCTACCGCCTTTCCTTCTTTATAGTTCTGTTGTATTTTTCGTCAACTTGTGTTTATTATTCCTCCTTGGGGCCCCCGGGCCGCACAACTCCCCGCGGCCCCGCTCCCAGCCCCGGCGCTTCGGGCCGGGCTTTAGCGGCGACCGGCGCTGGCGGGGCGGGTGCTGCGCGGCGCCGCCAGGGGGCGCCCGGGCCGGGGGGGGGGCGCGGAGCGGGGCCGGGGGGCGGTTTCCGCGGCGGCGCAGCGCAGCGCAGGTGCGCTCCGTTTCCGCGTTGTCCCGCGGCAGCGGTGGCGGCTCAGCGCCGCGTCCCAGCGTGGCCTGTGGCGGAGCCGGTCGGGAGTTTTGCCGGGGCAGCGGGGCCGGGCCGGAGGGCAGGTGGGTGTGCTGGTGGGAGCGGGAGGTGCAGCGCTCTGCCGGGAGGGCGCACGGGCGCTTCGTGCGGAGTTTTCAGCAGAGTTTTAGGTGTTCGGATGTACTGGCAGCCTGGTCACCTGTAGGGAAAAAACAGTGTGTCCGGGGCCTGGGGGGTACGGCCCCTTCCCCTGGCGAGCTGGGATGGAGGAGCAGCTTTTTTGGGGCGTGGGGCACCCTCACCCAGAGCTTCACTGGTGGGAGAGTCTTCTCTAACATGTAGCTGGAGGCAATCTGGAAACACAGCAAGGTGAACTGCACAAGGCTGAATTTCAACTAAGTTCTCCTGAAGGTAACAATGTAAGTGATGGAGGAGTGGGGGGAAACAAGCGGGAGGTTGAAAGTGACGTTCCATCGAGAAAATTACCAGCCCCTGCGTGCTTTCAAGAGCTGTTGGGCTTGTGCATGTTGTGTGGTAAAAGCAGCCATATATATCTTGAGGAGGACGGATTGTTGTGTTTCTTTTGGGCACTCTGACACAGTGTGATGGGTGCTGTTGTATGTGCAAGTAAGAGTGACATGCTGTGCCCAGTCTGCTGCAGCTTGGGTCAGGTACTCCCCAGGGCCTGGTCAAAGTCCATGGCTTTCTTTTTGCTTGTACCAACAATGTTCGGCATGATAAAGGTCTTGGAATTACTGCTGGCCATGCATGTGTGATGTTCAGAGGCTTCCTAGCATGCCTAAACCCAATACTATAGCTTAAGGATGCTGAGAAAGGATATTTTGTCCTCCAGGTATGATGGCAGGCCTGTGGCTTGGAGCCATGCTGGATAGCGAGTTTTTGGCAAGGCCTGGGGTTAGGCTGCTCAGCAGAGTTCTCTGCTGGCCATGAGCTGTGCTTTTCATGGTTCACTTGAGGTTACCCGCAAAATAGGCTGGCATGCGATTCTCCAGCAAGGGATTCCTTGACAAACACTGGCCCATGCTTGGTACTTCCCTGCTATGTCTGATTCTTTCTAAGAAACTTCGTGCTTCTCTGGAGGCTGGGAGGTGCCGATTCCACCCTGCCAACCTGCAGCCACAGAAGGCCTCCTGAGCTTTTTAGCATATCAGAATAGTGAAATGAGTCTCTCTAATTGGCCATTTAGATGCTAATTTGCTTCTCCTAAGCCTATGCCAGATCAACCTGCCCCAGAATGTGAGTCAGAAAGAGCCTGCTGTCTTCATGAATTATTCACTTTGCACAAGCACCTGCCTGGCTGGGGATCAGAAGGAAATAGGGCCAAAGTCCGATAAATAAAGATACACCTTGGCAGGTGGAACTGTGCTGGCTTTCCTCCCCAGTGTCGTAGGGTTCTGGGGCACCGGAAGGCTGCTTTGCTTGGGCAAAAACTGGTTCTTTAGAGCTTACCATATATCAAGTAGCCATGCTAATAAGTTCCTCTCATTAATACAGGATTGTTGGTACCATATGTTGGTTTTCCTGTAGAGCTGATTTTATCTTCCTACTCATAGGCCTGGCATGGACCTCCAGGGCATTGTATTTTATAAGCTCTTTAACAAGCTCCATCTTAAAAGCAGTTAGGCTTCCTGCCACTGCTACTCGGATTGGGAAGCAGCTCTAGTGCGTGGGAACTTTCTTTGTTTTCCCCCCAAACCTCATCCTCACTTGCTTCATTCCCAACCTAGCCTTATGCGAAAGTGACGCCTCTCACTTTCTATGTGCTGCAGACGGTTTTTGTTTAATTCAGGCTGGGCCAACCAGATCCAAATACATGGCTCTGAATGAGATTTTTCACTATTTTGTTGGTGCTGGTACTGCTTAGATTGAGCTTTCATGATGAGACAGACTGGAGAAAGTCTGTCTGATTGGGTTCTTGAGTTGTTGTCCCAAAGCGTGCCAAGGCTTTATGGTGTTTATTTGGCCATTGTGTTTTCTTTTTATCTGTTGGCCCAAGCTTTAGAACTGCAAGTCAAGTCTGACCATATTGGATTCCTTGTGTTGCTTGGCTCTCCATCTGTTGCTAAGGGTTTGTACTGCTGTGGGGATTTGGCACAGTAAGAAATGGCAAAAGGCCCTTTCTCAGCTGTGCCCCTGTATGCTGGCCCAACTCCCTCCCTTCCTGAGAGCAGGGAGTAGGAAGGTGATGAGGATCACTTGGTTCCATTGTGCTTGTGCTTCCTGCCTGCTTTGCCCCTCTGAAATGTTGATGCAGGCTTCTTTTCCACTGGAAGGGCTGATAGACTGCTAGAGATAGGTGTGAAGGGGCAGTTAAAAGTGGTTTGTGTGTGAGAAAAACTTTTATAAAGACCTGATTAGGGCCAGCACTTGTACAGTCAGTTACTCTCCTCCTCTGGCTCTGAGACTTGGCTGTATGGTGCAAGTCAAGTGTGTGTCTTCTGCCACACTTCTGCAGCCTCAAGGGTTATTCTGTCACTTTAAAATAGTTGTGTGCTTTGAAATACAACTGTGGCAGTAGGATCTTTAAAACAGGAGTGGAAGACTTGTGTCTGGACTAAATATCCTTTCTCTGCCTGCTCGCACTTGTCTCCCTGCTGCGCGACTAGTGTTTGGGAAGAAAAGGGACTGGCCAGCAGTGGGTGGGAGGCAGAAGCTGGGTTAACCTTATCTGTCTCTGCTAGTCATTTATCCTCTGTCATAGCGACAAGAGCAAACACTCACTTAGTTGCTAAGGTTTCCCAGGGATAATGGGGTCTGGTGCATGGAGCAGAGAGTAATTACACTGCCTCTTTGAGGGAGCAGCAACTAAAAGGAAAAACAGGCCAGCACGGTACCTGGTGCAAGCTGGGAGTCCTGGGGGAGGTGACGTCCTCAAAGCAGGCGAATTAATTACACCAGCACAGCTCGGCTTGGGAATTGGGAGCTCATCTCTGGCCAACTGTTTAATTTTTATTTTTTAAATGAAGTATTTAAAAAAAAAAATTACCTAGTTAATTTCCTATAAAAACAAATTAATATAAACACGAGCTGCTTAGCTGAAATAACCAGACAAATGAAAGCTGACTGGAGAGCTCCTTATTGGCCTGTATAGGACATTTTTGTATTTGCACGACTCTGAGGAATTGATGCTTCATGGGCACCTCTAATCAGCCCAGCTGCAGGAGGGGTTGTGCAGGCTGTGCTTTTGCTGCCATGAGGAGGTGTTCTCTACCTCAGTGTCAACAAGACCCTTCAGTGTTAACTTTGATATGGTCAAGGTAAAGTCAAAATGTGTTTGAGGAGTGAGGAAGGGACTTGATGTAGCGAGATGATGCTAGAAGTGTCCATGAGCTGAAAAAGCAAGCTGATAAATTTGGGTCAGAAGAATGTTAAGGGTGTCAAATACAGAGTAACAGCCTGGCTTGGGGAATGCACGATCCAGAGATCTCTGGGGGCTGGGAGGGTATTCTGGAAAAGTGTTGCTGTGTTGTGCTCTGTTCTTATACTCTTCTTTAAACATCTGCTCTTGGAGCTAGTCAGATAGTAGGTACTGTGCTCACTGGACCTTTGGCATGGCCTACTATGACTGTGCTCAGTTATTAAGGTAAAGATACATGATGTTTATGTTGGTATTCTGCTGAGAAAACTGGCCTTCTTTCACAGAAGAGTCTGAAATTCTTTGAAAAGTATCATGTCAAAGGACTGTGTCTGCATACTGCCATCAGCTGACGCTAGATATGGGACGTGCCAACATGGCAACCTTTTGCCATCGCGGTTACCAGTGGTAGTTGGTGCCAAACATGCTGGTTGTTGGAATGTGGACCAGGAGTTCACACAGAAACACCTCCTGCTGCTGCTCTGCTGCTGCTTTGGGAAGGTGTGCCTGTTGCAGGATCCATGGCTGCATGGCTTGGTGGCGTGGCGTGGAAGGGCTCTTGTCTCTCCTCGCCTGGGGACATGCTGCCCCACAGCCAGCTGCAGCCCGCCTTCATCCTCCAGGCCAGGAAGTGGGAACTGTCCAGTGGGAAAGATCATGGAATGGTTTGGGTTGGCAGGGACCTTGAAGATCATCCAGTCCCAACCCCCTTCCATGGGCAGGGACACCTTCCCCCAGCCCAGGGTGCTCCCAGCCCCATCCAACCTGGCCTTGAACCCTTCCAGGGAGGAGGCAGCCACAGCTTCTCTGGGCACTCTGGGCCAGCACCTCACCACCCTCACAGGGAAGAATTTCTTCCTTCTATCTAATCTAAACTACCCTCTTTCAGTTTAAACCTGTTACCTCCTGTTCCTATCACTACACTTCCTGATAAAGAGTCCCTCTCCATCTTTCCTGCTTGTGAGATCCTGCTCACTTTGCTGTCTTGTAGTCATTCTGCAGGGATGTGGGACCAAATCAGTAGTGTGACCCTGCTGCTGTTCCCTGTGCTCAGACCCTGCTGGAAGACTTCTCCCTCACAGACTGAAGTCGTGTTCTCAGGTGCCTTGTTCTTTGGCTGCAGAGTCCAATTCTCATCATGGAGACAGCAGAAGCAGCTCTAGTTCAGAGCTGCAGGCAGAGATGTGCTCAGTTCTGCATTTTTCTGAAATGCTCCTGGCCCTGTGTGGAGGGTGGGCTCGCTGCAGGCAGTGCTCCTTCCTTACAGCACTCCCCTTAGCTTCTCTGCCAAGGGCAGCCAGGTGGACTCAGATTTAATGAGGTTTTGTTTCACATGACTTCCTCCATCATAGGAAAGGAAAAAACAGGTGGAGTGTTTTTAAAGCAGGTCATAGGATATTGATAAGAGCTCCCTTTTAATTCTTAATTCAAGTAAAAAGCAGAATCTCAGAGTGGGAAGTTTTCGTTCTATAACACTAAGTACTTGTGCTTCCCCTTTGTTCTGTATGCAGTGTACTTGCAGCTGTGGATTTCTCTTGTTCTCTCGCTACTAGAGACTGATTGCTTCTGCTCTTCTGAGAGGAGCAGAGGACAGGGAGGGGATGGGTCAGTGAGGATGGGGCTCACTGAAGTATTTTTGAGAGAGAACACAGTAGAGGCTCACTGCAAGAGAGGGATGTTTCACCACAGCCCATAGAAATGACTCCCCAGGCTGGCGTGGTTTTGCTATCTTGGTGTTTCTGATTAGGCTGATTCCACCGTACTTCTTGTCCTGTACAGAGATAAGAGGGAGGATGCTTCATACCTTCCAGATGCTGGTACCATTTCTCTGGCATTGTTCCCATGGCCATGCAAGATATTCCTTTCCCTCCAGCCCTGCTAGTGCTCCTGTTTCCACCCCAGCAGACTGTGGCCTGCAATCCCATGTCATTCTTGTTTCCTTCTCTGTGGTAGTTATGTCAAACCACACTGGGCTTTTTTCAGAGGCAAAGGTGCAAAGCCACCTGCAATGCCAGTTTACATCAGAGGGAGCAGCAGATACCCAATGCTGCTGAAATAAAATACTCCTGTAAATATTTTAGGGAATAGTCTATCTGAAGTCTGTTTTGGGATATGGTGGATCTCTAGGCTGTGTTTTGTTTTCCTTGTCTCTTTGCAGATGCTGCTCAGGCAGTGGTAGAGAACATAAAGCATATGCCGAGTAACAGAGGCAAAAGAGCATGACATTGCTTGATTTTTTTTCAGTCCTGCTGAGAAGAGTGTGCTGTGGTATGAGGCTGGAGAATGTGTTTAGGTCTCTCCTGAGAAAAATGCTTAGCTGATGTGCTCTATTCTGACTTGCCTTCAGCTCTGTTAGAGCAGATAAAGCTCTGCAGAGGAGGGGCAGATGTATTCAGCACTGCTTTCCACCCTGAAATCACAGCTGCTGGCAAAGAAAACTCCTCTGCCCTGACTGTGGTATGGGGCTCAACTCCAGCTCTAGGTTTTATGCTAAACATCCCGCAGCTGCCAAGAGCTGGTCGTGTCGGTATGGTTGTGTGTATTCAGCCTTGCCATTGGACACTGAGTGTGTGGGCTGTGCTGTTCTTCAGGTGTGCATGAGTGGGAGGGAAGAGTATGTGGTATGTCTGAAGATGAATTTAATATATGCATTTGTGTAGGGGGCTATATGTGCATATAATCCTCTATCAATGCCTCACAGGCTTGCAGAATATCTGGAAAATCCCAGGTTAGCCATTCTGTGTGAAATTGTAGCTTCTCTCAGCTTCTAACGCTGGCCCGGGGGTGGGAGCCTTGGTATTCTTTTGCTGTTAATGCTTGATTGCTCCCCTGTGTGTGAGCTGCTGTGGGACGTGTGGGGGGACTGTGTTCTCTCCTTGCTTGAGATAATGAAGAAGATGAAAAGAGCAGGAGGTGTTCTGGGACAAAATGAAAATGCAAACCCACGGCATGTGTGGCACTGAGCAGCATGGGGAAACTAGATAAATCAAAGATGCCAGGGCTCAAGGATTTCTTCTAGAGATCATCCCTTTCAAAAGTGATCACCTTAACTAATGTAGTAAAGGTTTAAAAAATTGTATGCAACACTTCTCTCTGTCGCTCCTGTCTTAACCCTCTTTTTCTGCCAGACCTCTACTGCAGCCTCCCATCTCCTCCATGTCTCACTTTGCTGTACAGTTGGACTGTGCTGCTGAGTATTATGCTCAATTGTTACAAGTCCTCACCCTTTTTATATATCTGTCCTCTTGCAGTGAAATAAATCTGTATTTCATGTGGAATTCCTCCTCTTCTCTCTTGCATGTTGTGTTCAGACTCTCTCTAGAAATTGCATGGTCAGAGAGGAGGGAACCGTTTTGACTCTCAAGGCTGATGTGGGGTTTGACAGGAGATAGCTGTCAGTTCTCTAATATGGGTTAGCGTTTCTGTGCCGGTGGGTGAGTGTGGTGTGTGTGGCACATGTGAGCTCAGCACAGGGAGAGATCAATCGATTTGCACAAGCTCCATGACTGCCTGTGTCAGAGGGCCAAGGCCATGCAGCCTATGATGCCTCCGTGTCCGGCACAGAAGCAGGAAGTTCTATGTGTCAGCAGTAGATAGCACGTGTAGGTGCAGCACGCTGAACCACAGGCGCTGCTGGGGTAAGAGTGCTGTGGGTTGAGACTAGAACATGTGTTTTCTTGGGAACTACCACACAGCTGGCAGGTGATATACCTTGGCCACTATAGTATCTGATTTGTGTTTGCCAAACAGCATTAAAGATGTTATCTCTGCTCAGCAGGTATGGTTTCAAAGCTGGCAAGTGTCTGTTCTGGGGAAGGTTAAGTATTAATACCTGAAAATTTGTGCACTGGGGCTCATCAGATACTTGCTCTGCTGAAGAGCAAATCCAGCTGGAGAAAAGCTTGGTACATCAAAACCAGTTCTGCCTCCACTGAAATCTTTTGGCTGCGCCTGTCCTTTGGTGCTTTCCGTTCATGTGAGCTGTTGGTAGGACTCAAAACTGCTTAGCTGCAAACTCTCTTTTGGGGATGTGTTTCTCCCATGAATGCATGGAATTTGGCTGCTTGTTGCCTTTAGTGATCAGTTCATGGTGAAATTGTCATTGAACACAAGACACAAGGAACCACTGATGTGACTATGCTGGTTACAGGAGCCACAGTAAGAGATCTGCTGCAAAAGGTGCTGTCTTAAACATCAGAGAATGCAAACAAGCTGCTATTGTAGGCTGTAGTTATAAATACCAGGCTATTATGGAGGCAGTTTTAATGAACGAAATGACTTGCCACTATTCATGCTGATTGTTGCGTGGGTTTTTGTTTGTTACCCCATTAAGAGGTAAAAAAAAAGCAACTGTACTTTCTTTGTGTCCTTTAGAGTGGCGTTCTCTGTCAGTACTGCAGTGTTGGGGCTCTAAAGGTGATGGGGCAGAGATTATTTTTACAAACAACACTTTTCTCTAGTTTGAAATGAAAAATCAGAATTGACGAAGAGTCTCTAGCAGTTTTTCAGAGTATCATAACATCTAAACTTTCAGCTTTGCCTTCAAGATATTTGAAGGTATTTATTGGCTTATATTTTATGACGCTGGTGATATGTTTTTATCGCTGTCTGTGGGTGAGAGTCTGTCTACTTCCACCGTGTGCAGTGCCAGCAGATCACCTCTGGTTTGCTTGCCAGAAGAGCAGCCCATGGGCATGGTTAATAAGGCTGTGCCAAGTGCTGCCCTGTTTGCTTCTTACAGGTGTGATCCCTGCCTCTCCTCCCCAGCCTGGTGCCATGGCTGACACGATTTTTGGCAGTGGGATGGGCCAGTGGGTGTGCCCCAACGACCGGCAGCTGGCCCTGCGTGCCAAGTGAGTCCTCACCACCCTCCTTCTCTCCTTCCAGCCTCAGCTCTGGACTGAATGGTTTCATGGTATCTGTGTGAAGCACTGGCCTCGTCCCCAGCCCAGTTGGGAGGCAGATCCTTGCCTGTCACACAGACACCCCTGTACCCTCAAAGTGTTGCTGCTTGGGTGCGACAGGAGCCTGCTAAGCTGCGGCTCGGTGCTTGGCTGCTTCTCAGAGCTGCCAGCCTGCAGTGGAGTTTGTAGCATGGCTGGTGTATGGTGGGAGTCCATCCTACCAGCCCTACCCTGGCTGAAAAGAGGGGCTTGGAGACAGGCTTATATCTCTGCAGCACCCTAAATATAATTAATAGCATCCCCCAGCTGCCAGCACTCTTTTGTTTTAGGAACTTGTCATTTGATCTAATTTTTCTTTGAAGTTAAATTACTGCATAACCTAAAGACAAAAGGGATGGAGATGAGTCAAGCACTAGAATTGCGTTTGTTTCTTGGATGCTTTCCTTCTCTGACAGCCAGTACCATGCCACTGCCACCTCTGTTCTCGTCTGAAACTGTGAGGTCAGCCTGCTGCAGAGTGTTAGAAAATAGGAGGTCACCCTGTGTCAGAGGGGACTGCCTGACTGTGAACAGTGCACACCACTGCCACTTCTCCAGCCTTCACCTGAAAGCCTCATTAAGACAGCTGTGTCTGATAGTGTGCTGCATTCTGCTAACAGCTGTGACTTTATCTAGTGACCTCTAAACCCCCACTGAATGGTAATTAATTGAGCTGTGAAAGCTCCCGCCTGTCCCCAGTTGAGCTAAGGAGATATGTCAGCTGCTATATGTGAGGCACAGAGGGAAGTGGCTTGCTGAAGTTCTCCTGTGAGCCTGTGTTAAACCAAGGGAGGAAGTTGCCGAATTTATATTTCCAAGCATGCCTGCTGATTTGTGTGTTTGAACCGAGGACCTTAGAAACATGTGATCTGGAAGGGGGAGGGTATAGATAATCCCTGTATTCGGGAGTCTGCTGTTGGCGTTTGAGGTGTCTGGCATCAGCACCCATCTCTGCAAGGGTACCCCTGGAACAGCCAGCCCTAGGTGCACTAGTTTTCCGAGTGAGGACATGGAGTAGTAAAATACAAACTGGAGCAGAAAGGGGAATGAGAGGGCAGGGAAGAGACAGCGTAGCACTCGGTGCTGCTGGAGGAGTGACGTGGTGATCTGGTCACTGAGGAGAGACTCCTTCTTTGGGTGTTAGCCAAGGAACAGACTTCTCTGATGCAAGGCTGATGTGGGCTCTGTGCCTGGCAGGTTTGGCCTGTGGGGGAGGGCAGGAGTTTTGTGCTTTCCTTTGACAGCTTAATTCTTCCCTCCACCCCCTCCCACAGGCTCCAGACAGGCTGGTCGGTGCACACGTTCCAGACTGAGAAGCAGAGGAAGATGCAGGCTCTGAGCCCGCAGGAACTTGAGGTCATTCTGGAAGTCATCCGCAAGGCGGAGAAATTGGACATCATTGAGCAGCAGCGCATCGGGTACAGTCACGTTCATTTGTCCCCTTCCCTCAGAAGGAAAGGTCAGCACAGACAGAGGAGTGGCTCTCCTGGCTGCTGGAGCTCAGGCTCCATCAGTCAGAGCATACCTTAGGTCAGTTATTTTCCCCTCCTATGTTACTTGTTTGGACGTGATATACATTGAGAAGGAGGTGATGTTTTCCTTCTCTCCATGTCTTAAACCTTTCTTGTGCCTTTGAGCCTTGGGGCTTGCTGTGGTTGCAGCCACTGACACAGTCCCTGTTAAATGCAGCCTGTGCTGAGGCAGCTGCCCCAGTGGCTCTGGAAGAGGCTGGAGAAGATGCTGAGCTGTGTAGCTGCACCCACTGCTAGTGGACAGCGTGGCTCAGATAGCGCTGCTGGCAGCGCTGTAGGTTTTCCCTTGCCTGCAGTAGCCCCATGGGATTTTGCCTGAAGCAATGAATGCGTTTATGTTCTAGTTGGCTGAGCCCTCTGGAAGGGGTTTGCTAGCTTGAATTATTTAATTTATGGGTATCCTTTTGCTGCTGCAGATTTCCATTTGCTTTCAGTTCTGTTGGAGGTCTGGCCTCAGCAGTATCTGTGCTCATCCTACACACTGCCTTTAAAGCCAGGGAGTTCAGCAGTCCTGCAGCATTTCCCAGCAGTGTTTTGTGTTTGTGAGACAGGAAACGGCACTGACTCCCAGCCTGTGTCCAGCAGGCCCAGCTTCCTGCCCTGTGCTTCGCTCTGTCCCTGTGCAGCGCATGTGAGTGCTAATGAGAACTGACAGTGATCTGTGGGAGACCCCAGCAGCCCAGAAGCAGCCACTGAGCCTGGGGGACTGATTGTTCCTGTGCAGTTGTTGGTGTAGCTGCAGAAAGCTGTAGTCTTGCTGTTCCCATGCTGAAGCCCTCTCTGAAATGCCTTTGTTAACTCCTGGGAGTTCTCTTGTGCTGAAGTCAAGGATCATAAATCTACTAATGGTGGCTCAGCCTGGCTGTGCTGTCTGACCTCATCACCACAGGTAGTACCTCTTTCAAACAAACCTTGCCTTCCGCTCAGTATGGGACTTGGTTGATGGGACATTAGCACTAATGAGAATGGGGTTGCATGGATAGCAGGATTGCGTTTCATCCCTGAGCCGGATGCACACGCATGGCTGCAGCTGGTCACTGCCTCTGATAGATGGCCTGGCTGTTATCATCCCCATCTACAAATGGATGCCTGAGGATTGCCAAGAAGTGATCTCGTGACAGCAGCATTTCTCTGCATGCTCTCCACATCCTGCATCCTAATTGCTTATCCTGCCTTCCTTCCCTTTTGTAGTCCTGCTGCTATGGACATTGTGCTTCCTGTTTTCCAAGCAGGCTGTCAAACGAAGCAGGGAGCAGTTACTGGCATTCCTGTGCTGCAGCCAGGCTCATTTTGGTCTGATGGCTTCAGTCTGGCCTTCCTCCTTCTAATGGGATGTGGGCAAGTTGTGTGCCTGCAGTGCTGCTTTCAGGGAGTATATGTCAAAATGGAGTAGGACTTGGCAAGTCTAATTCCTCTGCCCTTTCTTGGTGCTGTCTGGCTTTCCCTGGTCTGAGCACTAAAGGCTTTTCCTGTTCTACAGGCAGGAAACCATTGTGCTGAGACTGTGTGGCCCCCATGACCTCGAGCTCCTGAAGGATGTAGGATCAGGCCCTTCTTGTGAGCTGTCTGCCCTGCACTCACTCAGTCAGGCCTCTCAGTGGTATTCACAGTTTTTGATTATTCTGGGCTTGGTGAGCATCAGTAGATGGACTTACAGGGGTTTGTATCCCTTGAAGGCAAGAGCCAGCTGATAGGAAACACTGAGTGCACAGACTGAAGTGAAAGTGCATATTGTCCCAGCAAGGGGCCCAGAACTGCACAGAAGCAGCAAAGGTAGGCTGAGTCTGGAGCACACGCCTGCAGGTTTTCAGCATGCCTCAGGGCTGTGTGCTGTGATTTCCAAGGTGAGTTCTGTGACCTCTGCTCTGCCTTTTCCCCTGCAGGCGCCTGGTAGAACGGCTGGAGAACATGAGAGAGAACGCGATGGGGAACGGCCTCTCACAATGTCTGCTCTGTGGTGAACTGCTCGGGCTGCTGGGTAGCACATCAGTCTTTTGTCAGGATTGCAAAAAGGTGGGTTTGGTCACACAGGTTCCTGCCTGTTCCTGGTAGCAGATCTGTCCAGGAAAGGCCACCAGACCACTTGGAAGCTAGATAGATCTGCGGAGTTAACTTCTCTTAGCCCCACTTGTCTAGGTTGGTGCTGTCAGACTGTCAGGTTTTCTCTTGCACCACCCTGCTTATCTTATTCCTTAGGATCCTAAAGTGCCTCAACTGCACTTAGTGCTGAGATGTAGTAGTACATCAGCCCCCTCTGCATCTCCCACTCTGGGTTTGCAGAGTGGGAGAAGGGGCAGAAATGTACAGCCATCAGATGCAACTCATAAGAGTCTGTGTGCTTTACTGCTATTTACTGCAAGGTCTGCCCTTAGACCTTCCGGTAAGGCTTCTCTTCAGAGGACTCAAGCCCAACTTCAAGTTCCAAACCAGTGTAGAGTTTCCAACCCTGATACACAAATTAGCCCATGCATCAGTGACTGCCTGTGTTTTTTGTGTATGTTGTTGGTGAGACTGCACGGGTGCTGTTTGAAAGGCAGTGTCAGTTTTCAGGGTGTCTGCTGTTCTGCCAGCACCCTGGGGGACAACTGTTGCTTGTCTAGACTTTGCAGCCAAGGGGTTAATCTGTATTGCTGTGGAGATTATGATCTCCCAGGCAACCACCTTATCCTCCCTCTGATGGGAAGCTGTTTTTCCTGCACTTGAAGCCTGTCTTTCCCTGGGGAGATACCTCTGTAAGTGACTGTGCCTCAGTTGTTGCCTGGGGAGAGGTGAGGGTACCTGCTGGGTGCAGGAGTGTTTCTGACTTGCTGGTGGTAGGGTGGAAGGGAGCAGCTTGTGCTGACTCTGTCCCTGGTGCGTACTGGAGCCAAGGAGACACTTAACAATGTCACCCACCCTGTCACTGAGGAGATGTCCCATGGAGCCCACAAGACAGCACCAAATAAAACCTGCTCCTTTACTGTGAAGTGGTGCATATTGGCACCTCTGTGGTTAAGCAGCCATGCAGGCTGTGATGGAGAGCCTTTTATGCTGGCACTGCTGGAGTTTGTGAGATGCAGCTCTCATGCAGAGCAGGCTGCCAGGCTGGGCCTGCGCTAGTCCATGGTTGGTTGCAGCACTGCTGGGCTTAGAGCTCTTGTAAGAGAGGGAAGGAAGGTGGGTGCCCCTTGTAGTCAGAACCGAGGTCCCAGCATCCCTCCACAGGTGCTTGCTGGGCAGGGGCCTGTGGAGAGCTGTGCTGCCTTTGCTGTTGAATGAGTTTCTCTACGGGATCCAATTTGCAGAAGTATAGAATCACAGAATGGTTTGGGTTGGCAGGGACCTTAAAGATCACCCAGTCCCACCCTCCTGCCATGGGCAGGGACACCTTCCACCAGCCCAGGTTGCTCCAAGCCCTGTCCGACCTGGCCTTGAACCCTTCCAGGGAGGGGGCAGCCACAGCTTCTCTGGGCACCCTGGGCCAGCGCCTCACCACCCTCACAGTAAAGAATTTCTTCCTTATATTTAATCTAAATTTACCCTCTTTCAGTTCAAACCTGTTACCTCCTGTTCTATTGCTATATTCCCTGGTAAAGAGTCCCTCCCCAACTTTCCCATAGCCCCCTTTAAGTACTGGAGTAGCTTGACTGAGGCAGGGGTTACACAGAAGATTGCTCGCAAGGCAGTGAGTGGGAAAGTAAATGCAGATCTTCAGACCCCTGGGTCCTAAGCCAGGGAGAAAGTAGCTTTTTAGGAAGGGATGGGGAGGGAAGGAGCAGTACTGGGAAGTGAAAGGTCTGGTTTGAATGGGAGCTACAGGGCAGCCCTCTTGGAGAGGAGCATGGGCTCTGTGCACATGCGCCAGTGGAGAATAAAGGGCTGGATGGCAGACAGGAGACGGCTAGCTGTTTCCTGCGTTTCAAGCATGTGGAATAACAGGATGTGCTATATTAATGCATTCTTCCCTTGGTGATTCTGCTCTCACCTTGTCCAAAGCCAGCTAGGTCATATTGCCACAGTGCTTTCTAACCTCTTTCCTGTGAGCCCCGTACTTTAATGAGGAGGCAAAACCCAATTCAGATGTTCCCTTCTCTGTCCCTTTGCAGTTGCAGGTAGTACTCCCCTCTTTGTGAGCTTGAGGCTATGGGAGGGCTGTGACCAGAAAACCCCAGAGAAGGGCTGTTTGTTTTGTTTTGATGGTTATTTTGTTCTTTGTCTGGAGTCCCTTGGACAGTTTAGGAGCATTCATATCCAGTTTGATTTAAGGTGAGACCCTACTTTTTGCAGTGTGCATTTTGTAGCAGCTTTCAGCTTGGCTGCACTTTTCAGCTGTGTGCGAGCTCAGGGCAATGCTGACTGGGTGGCCTGGGTTCTCCCCTTACTGCTTTTTGATGGTGTGGAGTGAACTCAGGGAACAGTCAACCCTTTGGTAGAGCACATGGAGTGGACTGTTACTTTAAGTTTCTTCCCTCTCATCCAGGAATATCCATCACTTGTGCAGTGCTGTATACAATAAGTAATGACTTGTCAGGGAATTATGGATTTTTAAAGTTCATATTTTTCTTGCTAGCCTTGCTCTGTTACCATCTCATTGCAGCTCGTTTAATTCAATAACAGGAATTGTAATGATGCATTTGAAATGTAGCAAAGAACTTAACCTTCAGCTAGTCCCTTCTGCTGAATAGAGGTTCTGTATTTCTTGTAGCCTGATGGATTTTGTAAGTGCTGTTTTCTGTTCTATGAAGAATGTTTTTAATATTAGTTTTTATTATCTTAGAAATAAATGCATTATGGCAAGACAAAGATGTATGCAAATCCAGATGTGTTAACAATAGCAGTAGTTAGACAAAGCATAATGTGTCATTTACCATGCAGAGGATATCAGGATCATGTATAAAAGGTAAAGTATAAGTAGGAGAAGAAAGTGCTTAATCTTGTATTTAATGAGGAATGGAGCTGCATTTAAAGTCCTTGATTTTTATGTCTTCTGAGGGGTTGAGAGCGATTTTCTAGCTAGTCTACAGAGAAGGGGAGGACGAAAGCCCTGGTTTATATTGGAATTTTCAAAATTTATGGCTAGTAAGAAAATCGCTTGGAAACTTCCACTAGAGGGAGTGTTTGAATGTGCTATATCTGTGGGGTTTGGGATCTTTGAGGGTATTTAAGAATGAGTTGCTTCCTCAGATTTTGGTCTGAGGGAGGGAGAATGTTGGTTAGGTCAGGCAGTGTCTGCTGATTACATCTGCAGTCCCCCCTTGGCTCGGGTAGCACCATGTTGAGTACTGATGCACCAGACCCAATAGGTTGTTCCTTATTTCTCTGGAAGGATGAGGGCGAGGACAGGAACAAAAGAGGAGAGGAGCACCAAAGTCTGTGGGGCTGCTGGTGCTGCCTCCCACTCTCAGTGCAGCAAGATTTAGAGAGAGACCTGCCCCTGGACTACACTGACCAAAGTAGTTGGGTGTGTTTATTCATGCAATGAAGCCATTGCCTCAGTTACCATCGTACTGCTGCTCTTCTCCAGGCGTGGGCACTGAGGGCTAAGCGAGCCACTGAGACTTTCATCCCTGGACACGTTCCTCCTGGCTCTGAGAAGGAACAGCCTGGTTAGGGGGATATGTAAAACCTTAGCTGGGGAGATTAAATTCACATGTCTGTCTAAGCAAGGTTTTGCTCTGCAGGGCCCTCTTGTGTGTGGCTTTTGCTCTGTGAGGATCAAAGAATTCATCCAATTTCTCATTCAAGCTGTAAGCCAAGCCTGATACACATCAGCTTCATTATATAATATTAGGTGATTCTGGTTGTAAATGGCTTGTAATGCCAGCAGAGACACGAAAGTTCCCTTGTGCAGCAATAGAGGCCGTGCGGCGCTATCAAGCATTCTGCTCAGGAAATGTGCATGTAGGCACGGTTGTGCCTGTTTCCTAAGCAGCCACAAATCAATAGCTGCCAGGTGTGTGCTGAAATGGAGGGGAAGCCATGGGGTTTAAGACTACGTATGTGAGGGAAGGGAGGAGAGGATTTCCAGTCTCGCACAAACTTGTGCTTGTTTTGTACTTGCTGTTTTCCCTGCTGTAGTGGTTGAGTTTTAGAATTTAGAGGACTAAAAAAAAACCGCTCTGGAAATATGATTGTTGGTCATGGGGTTTGATTTGCCATGTCCAGTTCTCTTCTTGCTCTGGAGTCAAGAACTGTGCTGTAGATTTGCCTTTGTTTCATGTCTCTATAGACCTGAAGCAACTTCCTGCAATCACTGTTCTCCAGGACAAAAAAACCTAAACATGGAACAATTTTCTTATAAGAAAGAAGTGTCTGTTGGGGCAGACTTCTTGACCTTTTCTCTCCCAAGGACTATTATGGCTCTGGGGAGTTGCTAATGCCATCTTCTTTTTTTCTTTTTTTTTTTTCCTCTCCTTGTTTCAGAAAGTTTGCACCAAGTGTGGAATAGAAACCTTTGGAGCCCAGAAACGTCCTCTTTGGTTGTGCAAGATCTGCAGTGAACAGAGAGAGGTAAAACACAAATGTGGAGAGATGGGGCTCAGCAGCATGTCCCTACCTGTCCCAAGTCTGTGCTGAATTTTCTTGGGCTCTTCCCTGTGCGTGGGCACTAGGAGGGAAGCATGGGATGGGGTTTGGGAGCCTTGGCTGGGAGCCAGGCAGGCTCAATGAATACATACAATAGTGACAACTTTGGTTTGTGAGGAGGTGGAGGGGGAAAAAACCACACCAGTCCCTACAGCCTATATGGCTTTGTGGAATTTTTCTAGCTATAGTGATAAAGAGACTGTTACCTTCTGTGTTTCTTCCCTCCTAGCTCTGTGGCAAATAAACTTGGCTAACACTGGTTCTTTAATACAGCTGTAGAGATCTAGAGCATAGCTGCAATATTTATCCCTCTAAAAATAACTAGGATTGCAGCTTTTAAGTCTGTTTTCCTTCCTGCCTGCAAAATCCTGTAACTTGCCAGTATGTGAGACTTCTAATGCAGGTCTCTAAATTTTGATAGCCTTCATCCTTGACTTTACACTGCAAGAAGTAATGGCCTGCCTCAATTCTTGTCTGCCAGCCAGCATCCACCAGCATCAGGGTGTGCTGCTCTACAGTGAAGTCGGTGAATTTGTTCTGTGGTTACAGAAGGATTTCCACTTGTTCCAATCAATTTATTTGGGACTTTTGCTTGTGGTCCTTGAACATCAATCCAGTGCAGCTATTTCTGACCACTGCAACCAACTGTGAAACCTGGGTGCTCTGCTAAATCAATTTTTGAAGTGTAGTGAGAGCATTTGTGCAGGTGTTTGAGATAATGAAGTTGTTTTTATACTAGCTATGGAAACTTAGCGTTGCTTAGGTTTTACATGGAAGGAGATTGTTTGTGCGGGAGCATTTGCAGAATTAATGTTCAGGTAAGATGAGGGGTACATGGACGCTACTGGCCTTTAACTTTTGAGCATGAGTGTGGTTGTGGGCAGGGCAGGCAGAGATCATTCCAGCTCCTTGGATATTGCTAAGAATTTGATACACTGAACCATCCAGATGTTTTGAATTCCAAATGGAGGTTCCAAAATGGAGAATGGGGCTGGTCAAGCTATTTTTTGTGTTCTGCAGGGAGATGGGTATGGACTAAAACTTACTTTATTTCTTTTATTCTCTTATTTCTGTATTATTTTTTCTCATCCCACACTATAATTGTGTGGTTTTTTTCCTATTTCTTACAAAAACAATAAGGAGCTGCAGTCACCAGACAGAGAAGAATATTAACCTGTCTAATAAGTGTTACATGTGGCCAGTATGGGAGGGTACAGTAACCTTCAGAGCTCACTCTCTCTGTGAAACCTGAGATACAGCCAAAGTGCTTCCTTAATGAAAATGGATGAAACTTTCCCTCTTAGACTAACTAAAAAATAGCCTCATCTTACCTCTCAGCCCTAAGCTTCATCTTTATTTTTTTGATTCAGTTTAAGGTTGGTTCAGGTCTGTCTCCTTTCTTGCTTGCGGTGGTGCTGGTGCCCTGACCAAGAGAAGGTTGGAAGGGTCACAGTGTGGACACGCAGTCAAGCATGAAGTCATACATCCCCCCCTATCTTACCACAAGTTCTGCTTTTATTTTGGGGGAAAGCAGGGAAGCAATGAGAATTAACAGAAGCCTTGAGGTGTGTCAGCCAAGGCAAGGAAGTTGAGGCAATATCAGAATAAGTGCCTGGAAAGTGGCTTTGATCAGGTCTTCTCCAAGAGTCTGTGTGAGGAAGAGATGAGGCTCTTGGGCCTCAGGCTGATGGCTAGTACTGGTGCAGTTCCTGAAACAGATTCAGGTGTCATAATTTTACAGGGCATGCACTAAATTACCAGGTTTCTTTCATGGGCTTGAGTTCACAACCAGTTTCTTGTTGCCATCTGTTTCTGTGATCTGGATCTGCCTTGTATTGCCATCTGCTCTGGACCAAACCCGTTTGGCCATGCTCTTTGTTGAAGGTTATATTTGCTATCAATGAGCGCAGATGAATGTCTGCTCTTTGGGATCGGATATTCACATTTCTAACCTCTGAATCCCCTGCATGGTGAGTAGGTATTGGTTCTGTTTTATTTCCTGGGATGTAGGCAGGGAGCTTCGGGACTGTGCTGAAGCACTTTGGGTTATGTGATGCAGTAACAAGTCAATATCAGCCTTCTCTCCCTTTCTCAGTGCACAGCGTGACAGAGCAAGGTTCTCCTTTAGCCCATGCCAACGAAACACATGCGTAAAGTAGACTTGTCCCAGGCCACAGAGCTCTGGCAACACCTCCCAACCTGTTGGGTCCCTAAACTTGGCCAGCTCCTAGTGGGTGAGTGTTTGATGATGCACCGGAGGGCCCCCCCAGCAGGTGTAATGAGATGTGGTGTTTCCAAGTGAGGTGTTTGCCTCCACATCAGCACTTTGATCGCCATCTAGTTTTCTGAACCACTGCTCAAGCTATTCAGGCATGATATTTATGAAGCTCTGAACTCTGTTAGTGAGAGACTGTCAGGCAGTGAAGTGAGAAAGGGAGGTCATTCGGAAACCGGGATGGACTAAATGATGTTGGCTAGAGTTAATAAGTGTCATCTGCCTGGGACAAGAGCCTAGGACTATAATTGTCCCCTTTAGCCTCTGCTGTGCACTGAGTGAGCACAGGAGTGCTGTGGCCTACCAGGATCTCAAGCCAGGATGGTAAGGTGGGACATTCACGTATACTAGCTAACAGCTACAGTGTGCTGCATTGCCCATACATGCTAAAGCTGTCATCCCTCCATCTTCCTTGTTATTATTTATCCCTGTAGGATTGATTTAAGCTAGCAACATGTGGTAGTTGTCTCCCCTTTTTCTGTGTGGACAGAATCTGTGCTGGCTTCAGTTACAATTAAATCATCAGTATCCCTGGGTCAAAATGAAAACCAAAGTAACAAGCTTTTGTTTACGTTAGTTTTTCAGTTGGAGTTGAATGCTTGATGCCCATAGATCCCTTTGGGAATCCCAGCCTCAGCCACTCAGAAGTGTTCTTTGCTGCTTTCTGTTTCCTTGAAAACCTCCACTGGGAAGGCTGTGCTGCATAGCAATGAGGAACAAGTTGCACTGACACGGTCTCATTTCTGGAGAGTGGAGGTGATTAATGGATTCTGCCTGCTGCTTGCGTCCCAATCATGCAGAAGCAAAATAGCACATTCGGCATCACTTGAGCTGCTGAGCATGATGTGTACATGCAGGGTGAGGATCTCTAAGCTGCTAGAGAGGCACTGGGAGGAAAGTAGTGTGTTCTGACATGGCTGGGACCTGACAGAGCCTGGATGTTCCTACTGGCAAAGGGAACATCCCCAAGGACCAGCAGATTTCCCTGCATTGTATGTCCATCTCTTCCTGAAATAAGATAGACCTCACCTGCTTTAGGCCAGAACTGGCCTGTAGGAGATACCACTTGTCCCAGCTGTTTGGAGAAGCATCTGTTGAAAACCCCCTTTTGTTCTTCCAGGATTCTGTGGACCATTTCCTTTGCAATGTCTTCTGAGGGTGATAGAATTAAAGCAGATGTGAATTGTGTTTTATTGTTCCTGCAAGCAAGGATAGAAGCAAATTCAGTCAAACTCACATTCACTTTCGAGGGCAAGAATCTCCTTTCCTCCTTCCCTTCTTCACGTGCTGCATTGCCTTTCTTGGCTTTACATCTTGCATTGCCTTTCTGGAGATTGATCATGGAGGGCTGATCCTCCTTGGAGCAGACCTATTTCTGCATGTGTGTGAAATCCCATGGCACGATCAGAGACACTGATCCCTGATTGCAGCAAACGTTGGCCACAGGTTTGCATTGAGCCTGTTTGCTAACTTGGCACTGAAGCAGTGATCCACCCATGGGGATGAGAGTGCGAGGCAGAAAGAGAGCAAGTCCTCCAGCAAAATGGGCTCATTGCACTGCGGCTGTCAGATGAGCAAAACTGCCGGGGAGGAGCTGTGGTGGGCACGTACACAGCTGGAATAATTCCCTGCTGCCAGGCCTCTGGCAGAGCACGTGAGCTTAATAACAGTTGGGGCAGTAATGCCTGAGTTGAATTAGTCACATGTGGCTAAAGTCTGCCTGTCACCTCCTGGCCTGAAGGGTAAATGGGACCTGCTGTGTTTTGTCAAATCCCTGTCCAGCCGTTTAACTCTGCACAGCCTTATTTTGACTGATACCACCAGGTTCTTTAAAGCACCTTCCTGAATTACCACTTTTTTTTTTTTTTTTGTTATATCCATAATTAGCAATGCTATCATCGTAATTAAAATCCTCTTGGAAGCATTCGTGTACATTTACATTTGAATTGACACATCCAAAATTGTAGTGATAATGAAAACAGTTTAAGTAGGGTGGGGGGAGATAGCTTTTTTTAAACCCCATTGAATATGAAAGAGAGTGTCAGTTATCAGGGACCTGTTAAAGTTTTAATTTGCCCCCTGTGCTTCACTTTCCCTTTAATTTCTTCTCCTTGGCTAAACGGCATTTTCATGGCTGGCTGCATTTCTGGTTTATCAGAGTAAACCATGCAGAGGAAGATTACTGTGCTGAAGGAACAGAGTTGTCTCCTCCCCTTTTGCCCCCAGGGCTTCTCTTTTCACATATACAATCATACCATTTTGAACATTATAAACCAACATAGCCCAGGGTTATTCCTGCTGGCATGATGATTTCTTGGCAAGATACCACACTGATGGAGGGGAGTGTTTATTTTGGGTGACTCTGGATTGAATCAAAGTGATGTGCACCTGTTTGCAATTCAAAGAACTCATCAATAGCCTGCCATATTATTTTGGGGGGGTGGTAGCAAGTGGTTAGACTCAAAATAGTGTCCTCTAGAATAGAGCCACAGGAAAAAAAGAGGTCTGATTGAGAGGGGAATGATAAATCATTGAAGGCTGGCAGCCATTGCAGCTTGAGAAATGTTGGGGTCAGGGGTGCAATAGATTTTGCTATTCCGGAAACAAAGCTCTGAATAGCAGTTTCACTGCCTTTTAATTTTCTTCATCC